GTTTACTTTATTTTATTAAGAGTTAGCAAACAAATCTACACCAGCCAAAAATATTTCCATCTCGACAAGCAATACGTCCACTACACTCGCAAATGTAGAAGAACCTTCGTTACCGGCAAGTCAAAAATCCCCTAATAATACAGCAACACAACGTCCACCACCACGTTCATTTTTATCGTTGTTTTTTTGTTGTACATGGGGAGCTGGCGCGATGATAAACGATGTTGACAGGGCTGATAATGCTACCACTGCTCCTACTTCTAGTACTCCATCTGGGACTGTGAGTAATAAAGGCATTACTAAAAAACCAACGACCTCATCCACGACAGAACCAGAAAAATCTGCTCAAGATAGTCTGCCGGTGATTCCCGAACCAATTCCGGAAGTACTAATTGAAGAGGTAATTATCTACTCTTCATCTGCTTTTTCTAAAATGAATTTTTTATTTTATTTTTGTTCGTTATTCTAATTCAAATTTTTTGTTAGGTCGAACGTAAATGGTTGCTTGACCCAATAGGATCTGAACATACTGGCAGAAAGTGTCTAGTATTAGATTTGGATGAAACCTTAGTACATAGTTCCTTTAAGGTAAGGCGTTACATTTACTCGTACATTCATCAATATTTTTTTTCGTATGTTCTTATATTCAATGAAATTTCTTTTTATCATGGTAGATGATCCATCAAGCCGACTTTGTTGTACCAGTTGAAATTGAAAATCAAATACACAATGTCTATGTGATAAAACGTCCCGGAGTTGATCAATTTTTGAAAAAAATGGGGGAAATATATGAGATTGTAGTATTTACCGCTAGTTTGTCAAAGGTTCGCTACTTTGCTTTCTTTGGACTGTTAAAATTATCATGATAATTAATTAATTAATTAATTTTTTTTTTTGAAATAATAGTACGCCGACCCTGTCCTTAACATGTTAGATATACATAAGGTGGTTAAACATCGGTTATTTAGAGAATCATGTTTTAATCATAAAGGAAATTATGTGAAAGTGAGAAATCCTAATTGGTTTGTGTACTTTGTTCTCATTAAATCAGAGTAAAGTTCTAATATTTATATAATTTAATGATATTTAGGATTTATCCCAACTTGGTCGGGAACTTAGAGATACTATCATCATTGATAACTCTCCCGCAAGTTATATCTTTCATCAAAATAATGCTGTTCCTATATCGTCATGGTTTAATGACCCACACGATACGGAATTGTTGGATTTAATACCATTTTTGGAAGATTTAACGACGGTGGACGATGTAATGATGGTTTTGGATTCTTACAATGAAGCGCACTAGAAAATCTGATGCAAGGACAATTCCTGAACATAGCAGGTGGTGCTGTATATTCAGCACAGACTTGGAATACATCATGTTCACAGCTGCTTTCTTGACTCTCACACGGGATTGTCAAAGATATAGATTTTCTTTAACATTATTTTGGACCCTGGAATTCAAGAAGGCAGCTCGTGGAATTATGACTTTCACCCTATTGAATTTTTTTTTCCTTTTAATCGACCTTGGTACGGATTTGGGGGATTTTGGGTTTCTAGGTCTTTCGTCAATATCAAAAAGATTGGACTGTCTCATAATAGTAAATTTGAGATTAACTATTTGTTATAATTTTTACTTTAGTGCGCGAGATGTATAATAGCTTATTTTTATGTTCTTGGTGGGCGCTATCGAGTAATACTGGACGCACTCTTCTCTTTTTTCTTCACATTAGATTATTATCAAGGGGAAATTATGGATTTTTTGGTCGGTACCCCGCGGGCGATGTATACCGACTTTATATTCTGAAACTTTATTCTCTCGCCAATCCGAATATATATATATTAAACATATTGAATATATGTATTAGGATTAGTATGGTTAGGGAAGTTTTCTTGACCGATTTATTATTGTAGTTTTTTATGATAAATTTTTATTTTTATATATATATATTTTTTCAATTTTTTTTTTCATTTTTTTTTTTCCAATTTCTTTATTTCTTAATATATACAGTATTATCATTTCCTGTTTATTATATATATTCTTCTTAATAATCTATTGTAGATTCTCTTTCCCCCCCTTTTTTTTTTCTTATAAAAAAAAAAGTTATTTTTATTTCTATTTTTAAAAATTGATTATTTCGTGTTGGTGAGTAGAAATATTTATGATGGATTTATATCATCGCCCTAAACATTTTCTTTTATTTTATCGTCCCAAATATTTTCTCAAATTTTCCTTTAAATTTTTAAATTACATTTTTCATTGTTTAATTTTCCTCAGAATTGATTTTTTTTTATTTGCTTTTTTAAAAAAGATAAAAAAAAAGTTGATCTAATTATTTTACTGTAAATTTTAATTCCGTCAACTCGCTCGTACTATTTATTATTATAATGTGTTTCTTTTTATTATAATTAATTAATTATTATTATTATTATTATTATTATTATAATATTATTTAGAAAGTTGCTTTAACGTTTGATTCGTGCTTATAGTTTTTATTTACAGTGAAAATAATTTCGTTCGTACGGTATTTCCGAGATTATTAACTTCTAGTGTGGTAAGAGAAAATGTATTGTTTTATTGTTGTCATCAATAATAATACTATTTAGTATAAATAAAAACTGAAACGAGAACAGTCCATATTTTTAGTAAATTGCTTCGTTGTTTGACGAAAATTAAATATAAAGTGAATGTCTTTTTTTTATTTTGATTTTTTCAAAAACCATAATGTAGTACAAGATTTACTTTGCATAGGAAATAAATTAAACTATTGTTACACTTAAAAAAAAAATTTTTATTGTTTGTGAAAATGAAAAAAAAATTCTTATTTATATATATTTTTTGCCCTTTTGTCCTTGTTTATTTTTGTATTTTGTTGGGTTTTTTTTTTTTTTTTTGTATGCAATATTTACATATGTATATTATTCTGAGATAAATTCAAAATGAGATCGTTTTGCCTCATTTTCGCGCTTGTTGATCTTCTTTTGCGCAATAAAGTGTGTGGATCAAAATCTCGTGCCATTGGTTGATCGGTAGCGGCCCGTTTAAGAGATGGTCTTACATCCGTCTCAAAATCAGTTTCATTTATTGTAGTCATTTGTTGCGGTAAAAATTGTTCACTTGCAATACCAGAGAATTGAACTGGAACACTTGTGAATTGCGGTTGATGGTGATAAGGATATGTTATAAATTGAGGACTTCCAAAATTTTGAATTTGGTGACTATGTTGTTCTATATTGGTAGGTTCAGGCCAAGAGAATTGATTAAGAAAAGAAGCAGCATGAGAGAGAGATTGAGCTCTTGCTCTCTTGTGACTTGCCATAAACTTAATTATTCCTTTACAATATTCTGCATCCCCTCCTTTCAAAATATCGACTTCGCATTCTTTAACGAATTGTTGGAATTCAGAGAAAGTTTTCGCAGCGAAAGAAACCGTATTGATAGTGGAGATTTGAGATGAATTGGTACAAGAGGAGAAAGAAGAGGTTTGTTGATGAGGATTTATTTTTCTTGCAGTTGTTGTTATATCTTCATTTGAAAAATTATCATTTTCAATTGAAGAGTAATCTTCTACACTAAACAAGGAAAAAAGAAAATTAAAATTTAACTTACTTATTGGTGAATCAAAGTCGAAATCTTGTGATGTGTCCTTTCCACTCTCGTCGTTTCCCGGCGATCCGGCTTCGATCGGGGTGGCTGGAGTGGCGGGTGCGAGATTAAAGGTTTCCAAAGGATGATTATGATTATAAACCAGATGAATCTCACATGGGTGCGAAAGTTGAAGCCTGCTTTTTTCCAATCGAATTTTTGCCAAACATTGACAATTTGTATTTCGACTTCTTCGTTGACCGGCTTTCTGAGCATAAGTTTTTTGCATATATTTTATGGCAGCGATATCAGCATGTCTACAATGAAAGTCTTTATGATATATAACTTTAATGCCTTTTACTTTATCTGCTCTAGTGATACGAAAGATGGTCCCTGTCTTGTTATGAAATGCAGAGCGCCATTCTTCAATCGCCTCACTTGAAGCAATATTCACGTAAAATGTTGAATCGAAAGCGGCCGTAGGCGCACCAGAAAAACTTTCTAATTCTAATTCTTTATACGATTTAATAATGTACGTGTAATTATCGGGGAGAACTTGTTGTAGAAAATGAGGAAGTTGTTGATACGTCCTCGGTGTTGGCCTACTTGTAGTGTCGGTTCTAGTTTTTAACCGTTGTTGAATACGTTTTTGGATTTCTAAGCGAGAAGCAGCTGAATTAGAATTTTCGTTATATGTAGTATTATTATTATTAACAGTAGACATTTCTTTGAATGGTTATTTACGTAAAGAAAAAATTTTTTTTTTATTTTATTTTATTTTATTTTAATAAATTCTTAAATCGGGGTTATTAGTAAATAAGTTTTTGATGTAAAAATTTAGAAAAAGAAAAAATTGGAAAAAAAAAGAATTTCTTTGAATAGAGAAACGAAACAAAAGTCGCGTTATATATATACAAAAAAAAAGGTTTTTGATCTGAAATTGTTCCTTCAAATAACATAGTCTGTGGAGATCACCCTCCGAGTACGTTAAGCATTTTTTTATTATTGTTAAATATTATTATTATTTAAAATATATACAAGTGATCATTAATAAACGTTTGTTTGTTTTTTTTGGGACGGGTTTGTAGGTGGCTGTACGATACTAAAATTCCATTTGCAGAAAACTTTCTAAAAATACATTTAGGTTAAACGTGTTAACCCTTATTATGCATAGATCGGCGACCCTAACTTTAGAATTTAGTTTATAAATAGTTATTTAATGACTATTCTTATTCAGTTATATCAGCATTATTTTAATAAGCCTAACCCATATGTGGTTAATCAACTTCTATATTTAATATTTAATATGGATTCATCTATTTATAATTACAAGATTATTCACGTAATCTTTTCTTTCTTGCGTGTTTATTGAATTCAAGGTAAACAACAACTTCAACTGAATTTCCACGTTGTAATGTCAACTGTGTGGCGTACCCTAAAAGTTTCTGTTGAAGAATTAAGATTAGATACAACTTTAAAATGTGGTCAGTCATTTAGGTGGAAAGTTTCCGGAGAGAACGAGTGGTATATCTATCGACTTATACAAATATATTTTTAAAAAGTTTACAATAATAAAAATAATAAACAATATATGTATATGATTGATTAAATGCATTGAATTAAAAGGTCATGCGCTTTCAAAGGAAGACTTATCACCTTGAGGCAAACAAGTACGTAACTTTAATTTTATTTTTGTTTGTTCATAATATGAAACGACATAAAATGAATTAATCAAAATGAGTAAATTCATTTAACCTGATGATCACAAGTAGCTACGGACATTGATTACCGAACGTATTTCAGTCCTAACGTTTCATCGTCTAAAATTAATCAGGAATTGGATAAATTACATGAATTCTTGATCGATTATTTCCAATTAAATACCGTCAATCTACGCGAATGCTATACTAAATGGAGTAAGGCAGATAAACATTTCGCAAGGATCGCTTTAAAGTTCAAAGGAATTAGAATATTACGACAAGATCCAATTGAAAATTTATTTTGTTTTATTTGTTCGACTAATAATAACATCAATCGAATTTCTCAAATGGTAATGTCGATGTAATGTTAACATTCTCTTTGGGACATTTTGATTCTATTTTTATTCATTTATTTATTTATGATTTAAATTAGGTTGAAAAATTATGTCGTCAATACGGTGAAAAAATATATACTTTGAATGGGGAAGACTATTTTGATTTTCCCATATTAGAAAAACTTACATCACCAAATGTTGTTGATGAATTAAGAAAACTTGGATTCGGATATCGTGCAAAATATATTGCGCAAACCGCGAAATACATGTGTGAGAATTTCTCTGATGGTGAAGTTTGGTTACTCTCTTTACGGAATTTGTCTTATAAAGAAGCGCACGCTGCTCTTTTAAAACTTTCCGGTGTAAGATAACGAATTCCTTATCTGTCAAGAATTTTTTTTTTCCTCGTTGATATAATAAGATAATTTTTTAAATATAATTTAGGTCGGACCTAAAGTTGCCGATTGTGTGTGTTTAATGTCGTTGGATAAACATAACGCTATACCGGTTGATACGCATGTTTGGCAAATCGCACAAAAGGAATATGGATTTAATGTGAAAATAAGGGGAGCATCAAATTCATTGACGACTCGTAATTATGCGGCCGTTGGTGATCATCTTCGAGAGATTTTTGGAGAGTACAGCGGATGGGCTCATTCTGTAATCTATTAAATTATTTTT